ACCCCCTTGCTCAGCCAGAAGCCAGGCTCAGGACTGGCATGAGCCTCTCCTACCATGCAGCAGGCCAGCGGTAAGGAATGAGGGTTCCTGGACTGTGAGAGCCCCTGACTGCGAAAGGGATGTCTGAGTGCCAACTTGGGGTCATCCCCTGAGGGGTCCCAGACTGTGAGACGGCACAGGCTGGGCTGAGGGACGCCCCCTCCCCCCCGAGTGCACAAATTTTTGTGCACCGGGCCTCTAGTTGTAATTTAAATATCTGATATGCGATGTGTGTTTTCCGATGGTCATGACCCACAGGTTGAGAACTGCTGCTCCAGAGGAAAATGGGTGAACTGGGGCAAAGCCACACGGTATGGGCTTGCTTTCTGGGGTGATGACAAGCTGCACACTTTAAATAAATTGTACAGTATGAGTTATAGATTAATAAAACTTATAAAGGGGATTACGGACAAAGGGTCCTCATTTTAAAAGCAACCTCAGCTTATCTGTAAACCATTCACTGTGAAATCAAAGGCAAAATTCAGTTGTGATGGAACAAATGCCCACAAGATGGTACCAAAGCCTTGATAAGCTACCCTCTCCTTGACAGGTTTCTGTTTTTTTCCTTTATTTTTTTTCTTTTCTATTACAAAGATAGTCATTCTCTTTCCCAACTTTGTCCAAGACAAATTCTACACAGTGGCACATGTGAAGCCACTCAGAACTGAATAGGAGGAAAATTACAAACACTGGGTAGTCCTGGGGCCAGCATGATGGAAATGGACTCCTGGGAAACAGGCCCTGAGATGTCAACAGGACACGGTCTCTATCCTCAGAGCTTGGGATACCAAGCAAACCTATTCACAAGTCACTAACAAATGCCTCAACGCAAGAACCAATAAACACAAATGTCATGGGAGCCCAGGGCAGGTAGATTCACATGGTGGACAGTGTCCAGAAAAGGGGCAGATAAAGTCAACATTGACGGAACTGGAAAGGCCAATCAACCACAGAGCAGGGCTTCCGACCTCTCCAGTCCTGGCACAGAAAACACGACCTGACTGGGCAGTAGGACACAATGCATTAGGGAAGAGAGTAAACCGAGTTTATATACAATCCTCAAATGTACTTGCAGCCTTTTAATGAGCTCTTTGAACTTTTATTATAAATCTAACCTTATTTTTGTAATTCCAATCTATATAATAAAGAGCCAGGGTCGTAACATCTAAGGCTCGTGGCAACCCAGCACTGACTGCCTTAGGGGGCTGCAGATCAGGCCTGGAGAAAGGCCTGCAGAGAGAGAGGCACGGTCTGATCCATAGCCACTGTGGCAGCCGTTGACCAGAACTTGCCCCTCTCTCCCAGCCTGGCCAACAGCTGTACCTCCATTTCTCTCCAGGCCTCCACCAGGCTGCTGATCAGGCCCCATTGAGAGATGCTGACTGGCATAGAAACTGACCAATCAAAACCAAATCTGGGTCAACTTTGAGGAGCTGATGTCTGCCTAGGAGGTGGAGCTTTTGACACTGACTGACAGAAATTGACCAATCTCAGAACCAAATTGGCTGGCAGAAGGGCAGTTGGGGGATAGATCAGGCCTGGAGGGGAGGGGCGTTGA